TGTCTTATTAGTGAGTGAGTGTTTGTTGCTGTCTTATTAGTGAGTGAGTGTTTGTTGCTGTCTTATTAGTGTGTGAGTGTTTGTTGCTGTCTTATTAGTGAGTGAGTGTTTGTTGCTGTCTTATTAGTGAGTGAGTGTTTGTTGCTGTCTTATTAGTGAGTGAGTGTTTGTTGCTGTCTTATTAGTGAGTGAGTGTTTGTTGCTGTCTTATTAGTGTGTGAGTGTTTGTTGCTGTCTTATTAGTGAGTGAGTGTTTGTTGCTGTCTTATTAGTGAGTGAGTGTTTGTTGCTGTCTTATTAGTGAGTGAGTGTTTGTTGCTGTCTTATTAGTGAGTGAGTGTTTGTTGCTGTCTTATTAGTGAGTGAGTGTTTGTTGCTGTCTTATTAGTGTGTGAGTGTTTGTTGCTGTCTTATTAGTGAGTGAGTGTTTGTTGCTGTCTTATTAGTGAGTGAGTGTTTGTTGCTGTCTTATTAGTGAGTGAGTGTTTGTTGCTGTCTTATTAGTGTGTGAGTGTTTGTTGCTGTCTTATTAGTGTGTGAGTGTTTGTTGCTGTCTTATTAGTGAGTGAGTGTTTGTTGCTGTCTTATTAGTGTGTGAGTGTTTGTTGCTGTCTTATTAGTGAGTGAGTGTTTGTTGCTGTCTTATTAGTGATTGAGTGTTTGTTGCTGTCTTATTAGTGAGTGAGTGTTTGTTGCTGTCTTATTAGTGTGTGAGTGTTTGTTGCTGTCTTATTAGTGAGTGAGTGTTTGTTGCTGTCTTATTAGTGTGTGATAGTTTGTTGCTGTCTTATTAGTGAGTGAGTGTTTGTTGCTGTCTTATTAGTGAGTGAGTGTTTGTTGCTGTCTTATTAGTGAGTGAGTGTTTGTTGCTGTCTTATTAGTGAGTGAGTGTTTGTTGCTGTCTTATTAGTGAGTGAGTGTTTGTTGCTGTCTTATTAGTGAGTGAGTGTTTGTTGCTGTCTTATTAGTGTGTGAGTGTTTGTTGCTGTCTTATTAGTGAGTGAGTGTTTGTTGCTGTCTTATTAGTGAGTGAGTGTTTGTTGCTGTCTTATTAGTGAGTGAGTGTTTGTTGCTGTCTTATTAGTGTGTGAGTGTTTGTTGCTGTCTTATTAGTGAGTGAGTGTTTGTTGCTGTCTTATTAGTGTGTGAGTGTTTGTTGCTGTCTTATTAGTGAGTGAGTGTTTGTTGCTGTCTTATTAGTGTGTGAGTGTTTGTTGCTGTCTTATTAGTGTGTGAGTGTTTGTTGCTGTCTTATTAGTGAGTGAGTGTTTGTTGCTGTCTTATTAGTGAGTGAGTGTTTGTTGCTGTCTTATTAGTGAGTGAGTGTTTGTTGCTGTCTTATTAGTGTGTGAGTGTTTGTTGCTGTCTTATTAGTGAGTGAGTGTTTGTTGCTGTCTTATTAGTGAGTGAGTGTTTGTTGCTGTCTTATTAGTGAGTGAGTGTTTGTTGCTGTCTTATTAGTGAGTGAGTGTTTGTTGCTGTCTTATTAGTGAGTGAGTGTTTGTTGCTGTCTTATTAGTGAGTGAGTGTTTGTTGCTGTCTTATTAGTGAGTGAGTGTTTGTTGCTGTCTTATTAGTGAGTGAGTGTTTGTTGCTGTCTTATTAGTGTGTGAGTGTTTGTTGCTGTCTTATTAGTGAGTGAGTGTTTGTTGCTGTCTTATTAGTGAGTGAGTGTTTGTTGCTGTCTTATTAGTGAGTGAGTGTTTGTTGCTGTCTTATTAGTGAGTGAGTGTTTGTTGCTGTCTTATTAGTGTGTGAGTGTTTGTTGCTGTCTTATTAGTGAGTGAGTGTTTGTTGCTGTCTTATTAGTGAGTGAGTGTTTGTTGCTGTCTTATTAGTGAGTGAGTGTTTGTTGCTGTCTTATTAGTGAGTGAGTGTTTGTTGCTGTCTTATTAGTGAGTGAGTGTTTGTTGCTGTCTTATTAGTGTGTGAGTGTTTGTTGCTGTCTTATTAGTGAGTGAGTGTTTGTTGCTGTCTTATTAGTGAGTGAGTGTTTGTTGCTGTCTTATTAGTGAGTGAGTGTTTGTTGCTGTCTTATTAGTGAGTGAGTGTTTGTTGCTGTCTTATTAGTGTGTGAGTGTTTGTTGCTGTCTTATTAGTGTGTGAGTGTTTGTTGCTGTCTTATTAGTGTGTGAGTGTTTGTTGCTGTCTTATTAGTGAGTGAGTGTTTGTTGCTGTCTTATTAGTGAGTGAGTGTTTGTTGCTGTCTTATTAGTGATTGAGTGTTTGTTGCTGTCTTATTAGTGAGTGAGTGTTTGTTGCTGTCTTATTAGTGTGTGAGTGTTTGTTGCTGTCTTATTAGTGAGTGAGTGTTTGTTGCTGTCTTATTAGTGTGTGATAGTTTGTTGCTGTCTTATTAGTGAGTGAGTGTTTGTTGCTGTCTTATTAGTGAGTGAGTGTTTGTTGCTGTCTTATTAGTGAGTGAGTGTTTGTTGCTGTCTTATTAGTGAGTGAGTGTTTGTTGCTGTCTTATTAGTGAGTGAGTGTTTGTTGCTGTCTTATTAGTGAGTGAGTGTTTGTTGCTGTCTTATTAGTGAGTGAGTGTTTGTTGCTGTCTTATTAGTGTGTGAGTGTTTGTTGCTGTCTTATTAGTGAGTGAGTGTTTGTTGCTGTCTTATTAGTGTGTGAGTGTTTGTTGCTGTCTTATTAGTGAGTGAGTGTTTGTTGCTGTCTTATTAGTGAGTGAGTGTTTGTTGCTGTCTTATTAGTGTGTGAGTGTTTGTTGCTGTCTTATTAGTGAGTGAGTGTTTGTTGCTGTCTTATTAGTGTGTGAGTGTTTGTTGCTGTCTTATTAGTGAGTGAGTGTTTGTTGCTGTCTTATTAGTGAGTGAGTGTTTGTTGCTGTCTTATTAGTGAGTGAGTGTTTGTTGCTGTCTTATTAGTGAGTGAGTGTTTGTTGCTGTCTTATTAGTGAGTGAGTGTTTGTTGCTGTCTTATTAGTGAGTGAGTGTTTGTTGCTGTCTTATTAGTGAGTGAGTGTTTGTTGCTGTCTTATTAGTGAGTGAGTGTTTGTTGCTGTCTTATTAGTGAGTGAGTGTTTGTTGCTGTCTTATTAGTGAGTGAGTGTTTGTTGCTGTCTTATTAGTGTGTGAGTGTTTGTTGCTGTCTTATTAGTGAGTGAGTGTTTGTTGCTGTCTTATTAGTGAGTGAGTGTTTGTTGCTGTCTTATTAGTGAGTGAGTGTTTGTTGCTGTCTTATTAGTGTGTGAGTGTTTGTTGCTGTCTTATTAGTGAGTGAGTGTTTGTTGCTGTCTTATTAGTGAGTGAGTGTTTGTTGCTGTCTTATTAGTGAGTGAGTGTTTGTTGCTGTCTTATTAGTGAGTGAGTGTTTGTTGCTGTCTTATTAGTGTGTGAGTGTTTGTTGCTTAACGCCGCACTCAGCAATTTTCCCGCTATAAGACTGCCTGTAAATAATCAAGTCTGGACCAGACAATCCAGTGACAATCATGAGCACGGACCTACGCATTTGCGATACGATGACATGCATCAACCATGTTTTATTAATGATCACATGATGATTCACAGATCTATTGCAGTATGCAACCTATACGTTGTCAGAAAGAGCGGTGGAGTAGCCTAGTGGTCAAAGCGTTCGCTCGTCAAACCGAAGACGGAAGTTCGATTCCCGACATGGGTACAATGTGTGAAGCTCATTTCTAGTGTCTCCCGCCGTGATATTGCTGGAATATTGCGAAAAGTTGAGAAACCGTACTTACTCTTGTCAGAAACGTGTGGATCAGGACATCTAACATAATATGAACCTAAATACAGTAAATGGACGCATGTGTTTTTCTATTCTACTGAAAATAAGTTAAGGACAACCCGATTCTTTCATATTGCTATAGTTAATCCGCCATGCCATGTCGTATGAGAGAATTGGGGAATCCTTCGCATGTTTTGAGTATTATATGTATATTTGACCCATAGTACCTAGAGTTAAAGGAGAATGGAAACCTATGTGAACAAAGCAGGGTAACATGGCGATTGGTAGCTCTGTTATAAAGTAGTGAGAAAGGGAGTTTTACGGAGATTGGAACAGTATTCCAGTTATATCAGGCGTGTCAGCTGTTGTTGGAAGAAAGCCCGAAGTGATGCAGGTCTCAGACCTTACCACTTTTGTGAAACCCATGAGCACGGGTATGGCGCTGACAGATCTACAAAAAAAATCAGGGCGAACCGGGATTCCCACCCACCATTATAGGTTTCTGGGTGCCAAACTCTACACAGCGAATTGCGGCGCCTTAGTCGACTGGGCCACCCTTGCCCCCGTTATATAGGACCCAATCTGAATGCGTAACTATGTTTTGTCGAACGGAAACCTGTCATGGCTTAATGTCGCTGAGGACACAGAGAAACACTGGCGATATAAATATGAATGATAATCACTGCGTTGTTTCAAAATTCCTCTTGTATACTTGGCCAACGTCCGTCTGAACAGATCGTGACTACTTGCGACTATCGGCAGCCTTACTGTAATCCTCACCACTCGCATCTTTCCGTAACCTACGGCTTTTCCCGGGAACACAAGAGTTCTTACAATGAAAAAGGAACCACGCTCAAGGTTTGTGATGTATTTAGAAACGGAACAGTTTCAAATAGAACACTTTCAAAACTAAAGCTACCCTTTTACTACTGAGGAACCCGTTACATAAAGCGATCTTAGCGCTAAGACGATCTTATCTCCCCTACTTATACTCTGTATTACGACAATCGTGCAGTTAAGATCGCTTTGTGAAGCGGTGCTCACGCCCCTAAAGGCGCCATCGCTTCATTTCTGTAACATTATCATAGGATCTATGCACATCTTTCAAGATATCTGATGTCGCCTATAGATTACTGAAGTATTCGTCGTTCTTTTTCCGAAACGTGACACTCTTGTTCTGAAATAACGCGTGATTGATGAATGATGTTCCCGTGCAAGTCCTTTCTAAGTATCACTGCATATTGTTCGTCAAGCTGAACCGAGATGTGAGAAGAGTGCGAGAAGTAAACATGGCTTACCTTGTAATGGCAATGTCAGCCTTCTGAAGGGCAATCTGTGCCGCCCTCTGGGAAGATAACACTGCATTATCCACACGCTCTCGCAATTTGGAGGTCCGTATCAAGAATAATTTATTTTTCTTTCCCGAAGATATCAAAACATTGTTTTTATATTTCCCCTCCTCCTTGGTATTATCCTTGAACGTAGTAACACCGTATCCATATTTTTTGTTGTTATACCATTCACCCTCGTATTTCAACCCGTCTGATCGTTCACTAATCCCAAATCCAGATCGCTTGTCATTCTTCCATTCGCCCATGTACATCTCCGTGACGTTCACGTCGGTAATGTCGTCCTGGCTCACAAAACTCAAGTTGCTGTCAGTGTACATGGAAGTATTCGTCATGCCCGACTGCGTGGAGTCAGCGCTCACGTGACTAATGTTGCTGATTGTACTTCTGACAGAACCTGTTTGACGTTTTGGCGAGTCGTTTATGTCCCCCGTGCTTTTCTGCTTTTTTAACTTCAGCCCGGACATAAGCGTTTTCCGTAAACTCGACCGCCCCTGTTTGTCGAAGATGGACTTCCGGCGTTGAGGCGGGGTCTCATCGCTCTTGGCTTTGAGAACAAACCCGCCTCGACTTTCGTCCAACTTCCGATCCCTGTTCTTGACCACTTGTTCATCCTCGTTCTCGCTCCGGAGGGAGGTGAGGGAGGCTCGGAGTGCATTAGGGCGGTAGTGAGAAGCTAATCCATAGGGAACACTCTGACGTACGCCGTACCCGTGACGTGTTCCCCGTAACCACTGGCCTTGATAGGTGCCTTCAACAAAGACAGGTAAACATGAATCTCCAGCACATATACACAGATAACACACAAGAATTGCATCAGCACCTGTGTGCACGTCCTCGAATATCCAGTGAATTATATCTCCATTCTATTGTGATAAATACTTGGCCCTATTCGTCACCAAAGTTTCGGATAGGAAGTGACGTCACTATTTCCATATTCCACTCCGCACCGAGTTTCTATCTCCCAGTGAGTTTAATTTCGATTGGACGGTTATTTTTATCATCGAGTGGGGTTAGTACACAGAACGAAGAGGCCGTGGTTTCGAAAAGGCTCGGGGTATTTATCGTAACAGAATGGAGATATTACACTGTGTGATCGAAGATGTGTGTGCGCACGCACGCACGCACGCACCTGCACATGCACCCACACACACATATATATATATAATGTATAATCCAATGTTATAACAATCAAATCCGGATATATCGAAGTTATATCCTGACGTATTTATATACCAAGTATAACAAGAGACATTCACAACTCCAACGTCAATATCAATTTTAATACAAGAACGTACTTCGTTATAAATGAATATTCGTAATAGCCATCATCATTATGTTCGGAACAGACATATCGAGACAGGGATGAACAGTACCCAAAACACAAGAATGTTGGAAATTTGTTAATGATTTCACATCTCAAGCTTAATGCAAAACTTTCAATAAACAGAACCCATTACATTCATAGCTAATGTACGATAAATGTTTTACCGTTATATATTGATTTAGTTTGAGAAAACCGATAAATATATAATTAATAATGCCCAAAGGTTCCTCTATAAATCAAAAATGATCTGATATTCAAAATCGTGATGGTTGAATATTGTGTACATTATATATAAGTATATAATATGTGTATAGTTTACGTTCATGCATGATATATTTGTTGTGTGCAGGTGTAGGGTAGTCTGAGTGTAGTATTTAAATATGTCGCTTGCAGTTCACGAATGTAATATTTGGCACAACATAGCAAATTGAGTAAACCTTCAAAAATTACCTTTATGAAATCGCTACTCTTGCATAGCAATCGTAAAAATAGAGCGTTACATCTGAATTGATAAGTGAACGTATATTTTTCAAACTGCCAACGCGTGATATTTTAATTGCTTATCTCAAAGATCAGGCTTCAGTTCACGATACAAATATTATTCTTAGACGTTGTCTTCACGGAAAGATTTAGCGGCGTGGCAGACGTCCAATCACAACGTCTTTGAAGCAGAAAGCCAGCGTTCTCGGAGCCACATAACTGCGCGACCTCATAGATTCCTGGGAATGATACATGCATAAACTGCTTGCACTGACGACCATTGCGGGATAATGGGAAATGTTAAGTTTGACATATTAAGAACACGTAGTGGCAGTTTATCTGGTATCGGTAAATCCTCGTGGGTGTCCTCGGGGCTGGTTTATCACGGACATGCACGAGGAACAAGTCAGCCAAGAATATCTTTCCTTCGTTCATAACCCGTCATGGAAAATGGTTTATTGCAAGAAGTCGTTATTCTTAACGGGCCAGACTGATGATTGTTCCATTATTGTATTTAATACCTAGCTGTACGGTGAGATAAGTCTACTGTAGTCGACAGTTGCACGTTTGTTTGGGTTCATATCTTCAAGCTGCTTTTCTCAGCATGCAAGTGAATTTGGTCGGGAAATTAATATTACTATTAAATGTATAAAACGTATGATGAGAACGCAAATAGATATCTTACGATGTACACGCTGTCGGGGCAATTCATGTTTGTAACTTGGTTCTTATGGCATAAGTTATACATTTGAACACTAAAACATAACACGATTATTAAGAAGAATTGATTTGGAAATTATATGCACCTCATGGGCGAATACAGCTTTTTTGAAAAGGGGGGGGTGCACAATTAAGATCTATTTATTGTCTTTGGTGGTAATTTATACAGAAATAAAGATTTTTTTCGAAATAAAAAGGGGGGGGGGGGGGGGGGGGGGGTGCGCCCCACCTCTGTGTCTGCCCATGCACCTGCAGCAGAACCCCTGTTAGTTAGTTGTCCTCTAGCATCACCGCTCTCTAGCATCTTGTACGGTCTTTGTCACGCTAGTTTACAATTGTCTCACAAACAGATAACGGTGAATGGCGGACCACACTCCAACTCATGACAGGCGACGTGCGTTGGATACGTGCTCGTATTGATACTGTGGGTAGTGAGTCTTTGGTTGTATTTTATATGTTTCTATATTTATATATCTATCGTGGGCAATTGCAACTCGAACAGACCCGTGGGGATTCCGGGTTAGAATTAGGTCCCAAGAAATCTGTGCTTGTAAGAGACGATTTGGTTGACTGCATATCATCGTACCCAAACTGCGTGGATGGATGCTCATGATGTCAACCACGGGATTGTCTAGTCCAAACTCGATTATTTACCGTCGTATAGCTGGAATATTGCTGATGTCGGCATTACACAACAAACAAACAAACAGAAATGTCTTCCGGTATGTCCTCCCTAAATATAAACGATAAATAAAGAGTCTTCGTTCTACCATACGTATATCTACGTCTGGTTATCAGGTGTGTCTACAAGAACGGATTCAATCTAGAAGTTTGGTTACAAATGAAACAGAATATGAAAACTCCCTTTCCCCACTGCGTCGTCTACATAAGTATTAGAACAATAAACAAGCCACCGCAGGATGCGGAGTACAAGACAAACCAAAGAATGGAATCCACCAGCACGACAGTGGGGCATAGACGCCGACGAAACTGTAGACTTGCTCCAAGGCTCTACTATTCTATTCTTATAATAGGTAAGTTTTGATTAGCGGACAGCGCATCTAAGGATTCCTGTCTTTTATGGAGACAACTTGATCTTATTACATATATTATTTAGAAATTATGATGTAAACTAACACTTATTGCCTTAGAGACCTGGGCAAGTGTACCGACACTGTAAACCGTCCTGATCCTATCGGCTCCTCCCTCAGCCCGCTAGGTGCCCATTGTCCAGATTCCATGAGAACGTTACAATGGAGAAAGTATTTACATGTCCACGTGAGCGTAATGTTTCTGATACTATCGGAGTTACAACCAAATCTGTAAATATACAACACAGCGATACTCGGCAACGGCATGTCTCAAGCTACTGTGACACAAATCCTGTCCGGTAAATTCAATTCATAATCTTATAGAGCACAATCTCTACATTGTCATCAACGAAGTACTGCTGTTTAATGATTGCCCGACTCGCCTGGTTTGTGTTTTAATATTATTCGTGGATTTGACTATCGACCTCAAACGAACACGCTTGGCGTGCAATAATGTTGCTGAAATCGTTATGCTATCTGGCTATTACTACAAAACACACGTTTTGCACACTGTTTATTCTACACTTGTCAAACGCGTGTCAAGTCCTTCACTGAAGTGCATAACCTTGGATGTTTTCCTCCTCTGAACACGACCATCTAATGAGCCGCAAGAGTAGCGACATGCGGCAACTGTGACCTTGAAGATAACAGACTGAAGGTCACCTGTCCACGAAGACCTGTTGACAACACCTCGTGTTCAAAACTTGATTTTGGTTTGAGTCTCCGATCCAAAGAGCACCGCAAGCATCCGCCGTTGAAATTACCCAGTAGTATGATAATGGAATCGAAGTAACTCAGGGTAGGTCATTTGGCGATAGTAAAAGGACCAGGAATTTGACTACATTGTGTTTTCAGGGAGAGAAGCCTCAGGGCTTAGCTCGAGGCTTGAGAGTGGAGGATTGTTTACATGAGACTGTTTTCACTAGCGGATCAATAAGAGAAAAATAAAGTATAATTGCACGCTCGGTGCAAACCGCCTTGGCGGTGAGACGGGATGATTTCTCGTGTCGGGCTGACGCTATTGATTTGAAAATCGCTTTATCAGTCTCCAACATTCCGAACGGATGACAATTAAGTTTCATTTTGCTAAAGCTAACGTATGACCTTAAGACGATGTGTCGTCTGCTCTTAGTACCATTGTCAAGGTCGTACAGAGGTCAATGTTCGTGGAGCGGAAGTCGTCTGCTTGCTTGAGTAAAACGTGCAGGAAATTAGGTCAATAATGTTTAAACAATACAGTGGCAGTGTTTGAGGACACTCAACTCAAGATGGTCAGAGTCCTTGAAAACGGTCTCCTTTTGTGATCCAACTGCCTTGTGCCATCACTTTCTACACAAGAGACTACCCAGGATCAAGGATTGGGCTCTGCTCTATGTAGCAAATGCCGATAACAACATCGATAAGCAGCCTCGAAATAGGTCACACATAAGTATTCCTTTCTGTAGCCCGTTGGTATATTCTCGACGTAAACTGTATTGACTGTCCAACAGTTTTGTCTGTTGACCAATCGCTGAGCCCCAGTGTGTCAGCAGTCGATATAGTAACAGACCCATTCAACGGATCCATACGCTCGCCGAGAGGTAACTGTTCTCTCTTTAACATTACTCCTTGCTATCGGAGTCCTCATAAAAAACAATGTTGGATTCCTAACAGATCTTCCTGGTTTACAGACGATGAAATTTCGAAAGATTCTCATTACTCAGCGGTTTTTGAGGCTCTATGTAGTGTATGTTCTTGTGGTACCTAGCGAGTGAGGGACCATTGCTCAACTCCACTTCTGCAATATACAGCGAATGGGAATAATTCCAACTTGGATGATTATATACTATTGATGGTTTTAGACACAACTGATCCTCCCTCACCCCTAAACAAAAATTTTTTAAATAATAATAAAATTATAACATGAACCCCCTAACTCTCATCTTAACGTATGTTTTAAAACGCCAGTTATCTATTACCTTCGGACAAATGTGGACCATGACTACCGTATCAGCTTGTTCCCATAACTACCTCGTTAGTTCCTATATAATACAGCCTTTAATGCATCAACGCAAAACCCATTTACAAACAGTCCTTTATTGGTAAATTGGATATTGTTTGTATAAGTAATTTGTTCCCCGATGTGTTAATAGCATC